GGCCCGATGGTCTCACCAGCTTACACCGGTCACCTGGAATGCTCACGTGGGCAGCGGGGAGTCCAGGGCTTTGCCAGGCAGCGGGCCTGGGGCAGGGCATTTCAAAGCTGGGGAGCCCCTTGTTGTGGGAGAGGGAAGGGACTCGGGTGGAGTGGCCCAGCCTCGGGAGGTCTCCGCAGGCCCCTCCGGCCCTGGCTCCCCTCGCTCCCCTGCACCCCGCCCAGCTGCCTCCTGCACGTCCTCAAGCCACTCACCACGGGCAGGTCCTCGGGCTCCGTTTCCTTGAAGGGCTTTGGGTTAGGGGAACCGCACTGGCGGGACGTGCCTGGCGGACTGGTGGCAGTGTTCAAGTGTCCACACCGGCCAGCTGGCCTGTCTGTCCTCCCCCTCACTCCCTCCCGGGCCTGAACAGGAGGGCGTTGGCTGTCGGGGAGCAGAGGGAGGAGCGCTGCGGGTGGTCTGCCCGACAGGCACACCCCCCAGGACCGTCCCATGGGCTCTGGAGAGGCGTCCCTCTGAGCTCTGTCCCACTTACACCTCTTGGCCTGTGTGTCTGGGGTCCCTGGAGAGGATGGGTCGCAGGACCTTCATGGGGCCAGCCTGCCCACCGCCAGTGACCAGGCCCGTCCTGGTGCCGTCCTCAGTTCAGTTGACTCAGTGTCCCTTGGCATCATCCAGACAGTGGCGCCTGTGCCCTCCTCACTCCTAGACTGTGTGCCCCAGAGGAAGAGACAGAGGGTCTCAGCGCCAGGAAAGCTAGGCTGGCCTGGGCGGGGCTCTGGCAGTGTGGGCACCCAGCCCTCCCCTGCAGGAGGGCACCCTAGGGGCAGAGTCCAGCCTACTTGCTGGGGACTGTCCCTCCAGCGTCAGTGGACAACCTGAGAAGGTTCCGTCAAACATTCCACCAGCAGGAAGCCACTCGGACAGCACGTGTCCCCTTATGACAGCGAGGGTTGGGATCCGGCTGACCACAGCCCGCCTGCGCCCTGTGCTGCTGCTGGAACCCTCGTGGTGGTCACCCTGCGCCTCGCCCCTTCTGAGTCTGTCCTGGCCCATCCTGGCCTCTAACCATCTCCTTTGTGGCGACCCCACGGTGCCAGTGTTTTCTGTGTTAAGTGGCCTCGTGTCCCTCGGGTGACGTCCTAGGAGTATATTTTAAGGTTGAGAAAGTTTTGAGGTTGAAGATCTCAGAGCAGCTGAAATCGCAGCTGTTCCCTGGGGAGGAGGAAACGTCTGTGTCACACCTCGACCGTCGGAGGTGAAGCGGGAATAAATTATCTTTTTAAAAACGGTGTGATCACGTCTGTGAGCCTGCCCCCGAGGACTTTGGGCTGCATTTCAGTCTTCGCAGTCACGTCAGAGGCCTGGGGCGTAGCTCAGAGGGGAGCACTGGCCTAGACCTGGACCCTGGCCTCCCTCCCTAGCATCAGAAGGGGGGGGGCAGTTAAGGGTCAGGTGGGTGGCTCCGCAGGAGAAACCGACTTCTCCCCAAGGCTGCGCCCTGGGCTGAGAAGGCCAACGGCCAGGAGGAGGGGCAGCCCTGCCCATGGACGGCGTGGCCACTTGGGGTCAGTGTTAGAGAATGAAGCTCTGCTCCTGGGCTGGAGCCCAGCTGGGCCACGGTATGGCCTCCCGTGGAGGGGATCCTGATCCTGCCGTCCTCGAGCCCCGTCCAACTGTCTCACCTTTGGGGCGGCAGGCTCCATGGCCCGGCACCCACCTAACCCGAGCCCACCCTCCTGCTGGGCTGTGGCTTCCATGGGCAGCCCCTGGCAGGGGCCCGAGAGCCTGGGCCAGGAGCACAGCAGGCTGCAGGGACCCCCAGGCCAGCAGCTGGGGTGGGAACCGCGCCCCTTGGTGGCTCTGGAGGGCAGGACCCCCAAGTGGACTGGGCACACTCCCTGCCACTTGGGGGTACTGCCCCTCTCAGCCAGTGTGCAGGGAGGCCTGGCAGTGGGGCTGCAGGCCTGGGGTGCCCTGGACCTCTCCCTATGCCAGGGGGATCCCAC